CTCAGTTCATTGGATGGTGTAGATTGTGCAGGCCCGGGTCGATATTGGTCCTCAGCAGGTAGTTTGAATAGCTGATACAATCCATCAGAATCCTGTGATTCTTGGTACACAATACTGTTGGAGATAAGTGAGTAGGAAGACAAGTACCAATGACATTGCTAATCGATAATATAGATCAAGGGACAACAACTGTGACGACTATCACAAGTTGCTTCCTCCGACATATTCTCATTTTGACTGCTATGGTCAAATACACGTAAATAAGGCTTGGCTGGCCCACTGCTACTGAGCTGTGTTTACACTCACAAATTTCGACTACAATCCACGAAAGTTGACACGAAACAGGCCAGAGCTAGAGAATAGTATCACCCGCAAAGGAGTCTATGAGAACTGATGGACGCAGTAGATAAGTGCCGTAAGAATGACATGATGAGTGTTTGCAGCAAACAGTTAACTGTGACTAGATGCTGAATTTGATGACTATGCACTGCTAAAATCCCTAGTATCTGTTCCATTGCAAGAGTGGTAGTTAGTACGACTGTCTGTCGTTTAGGCATATCTTCTCGAGATGCAGGCGTATTGTCACAGTGGAAGATCTCTTCCTCGTAACTCTCACTGGGCCAAGCTGGGCAGCGAGTCCTTTATTGGACGGTAAGTCTGGTATTTCGTGGCGCGTGACGGTAAAACCCCTTCAGGAACGGCGATCTAGGCCAGGCGAGTCGATTATTGCGAAGCAAGCGTGTTAATGGTGGAGGCTCTCACGCGGCTCCGACTTTCGATGTACCACGATCGACTCCCACTATAATTTCTGAGGAACCTAATCGCAAAAGAAAGTCCCCAGTGGTAACTGTGTAGAATTTTTTTGTCACAAACGGCTTGTGGTCGTGGTCATAGTAACGCAATGACTTTTTATCAATCAAGTTTGAGCGTCCCTCCAGTGTTGTATGGTCCTCCTATTCGCCCGTTAACCGTGGGGAATCGTTTGGTGTATCATCACATCGATGCGGTCACTTGAATTGGCAGTAGTTCTTCCACTTTCTGTGACCACAAAGACTTTGTCACTTTTTATCATGTTGTATCCCTAACTTTCTGGTTGTCTTAAACTGTTGTGTTGTTTATGATAAGGAGCATCCGAATAGAGAGTTTGTTAACGACGATGCTCGCTGCTCGACTGGTCTGTGGACGACGGTCATTTACACGTTCCTTCGCTGTGGGAGTATCATCGCAAAGGTGCGGATTCGTAATTTCTAGAGCCGTCTTGGTTGGAACCTCATTGTTAGGAAGACGCCTCTCGTGCCGGAGTATAAGAACGAGTCATGGTACGACGAAGTTCCCGATACACTCTTACCAACAGGTCAACTCGATAAGCGAAATGTTGGCGATGCAGCAGTACGTGAGTTGATGACCATTCTTGGCCGGACTTGGTTTTTCCTCAGCAACCACCACTAACTCGAGAAGAAATGTATCAGCCTAATTCGCCTCATCGAGAGATCAGGCTCCGTCATCGTCTTGATATGTGAGTCGCTTTGAAGAGCCGATAGTTACTTGTTCGTGAGCAGAAGCAAGATAGATTGGTTCGGCAAAGGGAGTGACGACCGCCGTCTGGAGCAGGTCGAAAGGCATTACAATTTTCACAACTACAAGTTCTTCACATACACTGAGAAGTTCGGCGTCGTGGTATGTTAGTGTATCGGCCCATCGATGAGGTTAGTCATGCTGTAGTTTATCTGTTTGGTCGTCGTACCAGTCATCGGTGCGGTAACCTTCATGCCGAATTTCCGAGAGGAATTTCTCAGCATTTTCACCACCGCTCCGCCAGTGTTCGACAAGGGCCATGCATCTATTGATCTATCCGAGGTTGGCCTTGCTCCATTCTCTCAATTTTTGACGCGCGAATGGTAGGTGAAGTTGTGGGATCATCGACCGAAGAGTTTCACACTCAAGGAGATGTGGGGACAGCAAGAACATGAACAATGAACATTGCGTTTCTGACTTTACACGTGTTTCGTTGCTAGTCAGCTCAAGCCCAGTGTGATGAGGACAACGTAAATGCTTGTGCATTTGTACAGAGTGATTTGTGAAAGTATCAGCGATGCTATAAGATGACGGATACCGACTTGAGAGATATGGCAATTTATACCGTTTCGATGCAGGATGGAAAAACATCGCAATTAACATAACATGGCATGGACAAGGACGAAAAGTAACTGTTGGGTGAATTACTGATAGTTAGCGGTGCCTAATATCTCATTGCGCGACAATCCATATTATGTCTTGCCAGAGAAACTCCAAAAACTGCGAATGTCGCTACAGTAACGCACTTCTTGTTACACTCTGCCACCTAGAAATGTTTGAACAGGAGGGACGTTCATTTACCCGAACTGATAAACTCGAAACGAGTGGCGGTTTGAAAAGGCTTTATGCATCACTGCTGGGATATCATAGGGTAACAACTCATCGTGAGGACCCATAATGACAAGAGATACTATTAACAATCGATGCGTACATACACAGTGTCCTCCTCACTGCTGCGTTAAGAGACTACTATGCCGACGAACCAGACTTGTTCACGGCGTTCTTTCTCCTACGAAAGGCATTCACTTGAGAGACAGTTGAGATAAGGAACTACAAACGGGCAATGAAGGCGACAGCATCGAATGACTAGAAATAGTACAGTGTCACAGTTCAATATGACAACACTGTAACGACAACGTATTGACACGAGCTATTTCGCATGGCACCATCATCACTGACCAGAATAACACAGACTATCCAGGAATAGCAATGATCATCATAATAACCGAGGTAAATAGAGAAACCAAGGATACACTACCGCCGAAGACTCCTAATAACAGCTTGAAGCGGTACTACTAGATATGAGCTTATAAAATAGATCGCAAGTTTGAGTGCAGCAGTAATCAGAGAGAAAGAACAGTATTGAGCAATCCACGAGAATAATCAGGAATGCGGGATCGGCCTCACCACGAGGGAGATCTCTGTAGCGACCTATTACTAATAGGCTATCAGTACAGGAGAGATAAAGACTGAGCTCAATATCATCACACGTTGTTGAGAGGTGAACGGGAGAACCCGACAAGTGAGCGGTCTTCTGACTGAAGACGATTTACAGGAAGCGCAGGGGAAGGAACAGGACTTGACTCATCCTCCAACTGAAAAGGAAATATCTCATACCACAACAGCTGCAACTGAATGATGAACGAAGAATGAGACTACTTACGTCATAGCGACATAACGGACACTGAACGTTATCAGACCTCAGGAACCACCTGAAATGACCACAAGTCATGACCGCGCGCCACAAAATAAAGAACCCTACTTGAATAGGCAGTCCTCGTGGAATACATGACCGCATTCAAGCTCGCAGACCGGGTCATCAGGCTTATATTCGCCGAGACAGACTGCACAGTCAGTAGCCGTTTCAGCGTGCCTAAACAGGTACAATAAGTAGGGCCCAACTGAAGTCCGTTAAAAACCGACATCTTCCATGCTGGATACAGCTGTTGAGCATCGTCGTCATCATCACTAGAGGTGCTCTCACGATTCAAGTGCAACATTGAAAGGACACTACTAATGTGGTTATGCGAATCTTTCGCCGTGGATACCGGCTCGGCTTCGGCTGATGTTTCATCGAAGGAGCCTTCGTCAAGCGAAGAGACCTACAAAGAGTAAACCAAATCATCACTCAATCAATCACTCTCTACCATTGACGCGAAGCGATGATACGAACTCTTCGTTGACTACCATAGTGCTCATCCGTCTGCGCTGTAATAACTTATAGTCTTTGTACTCAGCACGAAGAGTCTTCTCTTCCACCAACGACTTGAGACGTCTTCGTCGCTTCGTCGCGGGGTCCTGGTACTCCTCATTCCAGGACGCCCCACGTGCAGACGAGCGAGACCAATAGAGTCGAAGCTGACAACAACAAGACTCGGAGATCCATAGTATGCGAATCACATCATGAACCTCACCAAGAAGACCGAGCCCATAACCACTATCGAGCCCACAGCTGCGATGATGATATAAAGTATCTTATGTGTTTCAGGAGGCTGAGAATCTTCAAGTGTAGAAGTCACTGCTGGGGCTAGTGTTGTTGTGATGTTCATATTGATGATAGATGTTCTTACAAAAGGGGGGCGACTAATACCAGAACCATACAGAGTGTACCAAAACTCAACTTGGAAGGTTATTAGTAATAACAGTGGTAAGAACCTACACATCCCGACGAGGTTCGTCTGGAAACTCGTGGGTTTCAGAAAATCACCACAAGAACCCTCCCACTGCTGTTGTTCGCCCACTTAGCGTGATATCGACAAAGTTGAATTGCCCTTGGTCCTGGATCTTATCCAGAGCATCGGGCCTAATGGGATTATCATTGCA